ACTACTGGCCTACTAATTGACAATGCAACTGTTGACGTCAGCAGCACCCGAAGTACTTGAAGATGTCGCCCATGCAGAACCATCGCCAATACCAGATATGTGCCCTCACATCATCATCATCATCATCCTTCTCTCTCTCCCTTGACTCTCTCCCACGTCTTCCTTTGTTGTACACCCGAAGACCACCCCTGCACCTCACTGTACATCCAAGCCCTGCCAGCTATGGAGGCTGGGCTATGGCGCTGCCCTCAGCAGCGCCCTGCTCCCTGCACGACAGCACGTGCCTGCACCTCGCCGCTCAGCGCTAGCAGCAGCCCACGAGCTTCAGCTCCAGCAGCGCTGCCGCCAGCATGCGAGTGCCCGAATGGCTGGCCAGGCAGCGAGCTCTTTCCTATATGGAAAGAGCCTGCCTCATTTGGCAGCCTGGCTGGACTGGCCTGGGCCCAGAAGCTTCCGGTAGGCCCCAGGATGCTGCACCTCTGGTGCAGCTACTGGGCCTCATTCGGTTGGGCCTCCCAACTGTCTGTGTATGAGGCTGCGAATCACGCCCAGGGCCTGTGCTTTCGGAAAGGCCTAGAAGGCCTGGGAATTTCCACGCTGCTCGGCCTGTGTTTCCCTTCAACCAACTGGCGCGACGAAACTGCCTGGACCCCAAATGCTAAATTGGCAGCCAAGGGCCTCTCGTGATTTGTTAGGCCCGCCTTCACTGAGGGCGGGCACATATGCTGCAGGGGCCTGCTGAGGACCCATATCCTCGCATTCCCTCCTCCTGTACTTCGATAGTCCTCTGAGAAGATTTCTATTCTGCAGGCATCTTTACTTTAAGATCTCTTTCATGGCCTGCAATGACTTGAGGTGCAGTTCTCATGAGTTCTTCTCTGGTGAACCACCGATCTTCGCTGGGGTCCAGGTGATGTCTGAATCTGACCCGGTACTGCATTTTTGGCTTAGGAGGGCGGCCTCTGCCTGGTGGTCGAGGAACTGGCATCAGACGATGCTCCACGATCTGGTCTATGCCCACTTCGCCATCCATGGTTGGGGGCAGCATTGATCTCCTGGAGGGAAACTGATCTGTGGCAGCGAAAGGTGCCAGCTTGGATGCATGGAAAACAGGCTAAGTACGCAAGTGTGGAGGAATGTGAATCACATATGAAGGCCCATCTGGTTGATCCCCTACAATGTCTAAGATCTCCCAGCGCCCAAAGTACTGTGGCATCAGTTTTCGTGAAATCCCCATCTCCTGACCCAGTTCAGATGACTTTACCCAGACTCTATCACCTACCTGAAAGTTAGAGGGCCGTCTATGTTTATTCTCAGATGCGATCATAGCATCCTGAGACTTTCTAATATGTTCAATGGCCTGCTGCAGCATCTGTTCATACTTGACAGCAAACTCTACGATGCTAGGTGCTGCAGTGGGTTGCCTTTCTGGTAGCAAAAAGTCAAGTGCACTTTTGGGCTTCCAACCAAGATGCAGCTGGTTGGGAGTCATACCAGTAGTACTGTGCACAACATTGTTGTACAGGCTGGCGACGAGAGGTAACTTCTCGTCCCAGTCATCCTGACTTAGCTTAATATAATGCCGAAGTTGGTGCTGTACTACCCGGTTCATATGTTTTGCCTGACCATTTGACACAGTTCGCTGGTAAACCTTACATTCTTGTCACTTACTATCGACGTAGGTAGTCCAAAATCCCAATCAAACTGAGGTTGTGCGACCTCAAGGTAGTACATGCCTAGTAGCATATCGAAGGGCAGTTTGTTGCTGACAAGGAATGATATTTTATGTCTCACTTCCCCTCCTCCATAAGAGAAGGAACAAACTACGTTCTTGACATAGTCTTTAACTACCATTTGGTGCTTGTTGGCTAGCGTAGAAGCTACAGTTCTGCTAAGCTGCTGCACTTGGTCCCCTAAGTGCAGTCTATCCACACAAGTACGATTGATGAAGTTTCGTGTAGAGCCTGTCTGCGAAGGCGCCAACTTTGCGGCCACCTACATCAACCTCTACCACGAAATGTTCACCCTTTGGACCTCTACTGGTCGTCGCCCAAGAGTCTCTAGGGTCCTTCCCTGACCACTCAGTCTCTAACTCTTCTAGGGCCTCAGACACATCTCTCGAACAGAGTGTCGGTGGGTCTGAATGTGTCTGCGGGGCGATACGTGGGTCACTAGCCCTGGCCAACGCCTGAAGTGGGGAAGGCAACGTTACCACTTCAGCGCGAGTAAGAGCCGCTAAAACTCCTACTGGCCCGAGGTGTTTCCCTGCGAAGTGCTCGCAGAAGCACCACCAGGGTTCGAAGATAGTCCCACCACCGTTAAAAGGCTACCCTCGTTAGGACTTTCTTGCCTCGGCACGTTCAGGACGTGTGGCCATAGTTGCCATAGTTCATACACGTGCCCCTAGCGACTCGGTCCCTCCACACCTCATACTCTAAACCAAGTTTCACCCATGCGGGCGTGCCTTGGTCGCCCTGACCCGTAGACCGGCCTACCTTTTTCTTCCCGGTCCCCCTAGCCTTTTCCTTGATGGGTGCCACGACTCCCCCATCCGAAGTTTCGCTGGCCCCATCGTGCTCTGTCTCCTCCCCAAGGTCTGGGAAGTCGTCACTTTATGTCATTTGACCATCGTGGTCGACGAACATTAGTTGACCTTTCTTCTTCCGGTCCTGGGGTAGTCTCTTCTTCCTGCCATCTCCTTGACTCTGATGCGCAGATCCCAATTTTGCCTCTACGTCCAAGACCTTCTTGCTGAATGAAGCGAAGTTGTGTTGTTCGACATAAGCCTCGTCTACCAACTTTGTCCTAACCTCCGAAGGTAGACATCTAAGGTAATCCGTAAGGAGTAACTGCTGATCATAGCGCACACCATGTACTACGAGCAGACGTTCTACGGTATCCGTGAGCTCTCTCACATTCTTGTACCTTCTGGCACAAAGACTGTTGATCGCATCTGTGGCCTTTTGAGCCCCTTGCGGGTCATGCCACCTATTATACACGGACCGTACAAACTCTTCCAATGTCTGGACTTGGGCCCAGACATCGAAATTCTGACCGTAGCCCTGCTGCTGCACTCGGCCATTCAACCAGCGGGATGCTGACCCCTCTAGAAAGGAGGCAGCCACTACAACTTCTTTCTCCGGTCTGGTAAGCTTGTGCCTCACATAGGTAGGCACCGTCCTTACCCAGGTGTCCAAGTCCTCATCCTTCTTCCCGTCGCCGGAGAAGGGCTTAGGACTCAACAAGGGTATTTTGGGCATCCACTGCATAGGCTGCATTGGCCCAGGGGATTGCTGCAGTGCCTGCATAGCCACCGAAACAAGTTGCTGCACACTAACCTAGGTCTGGCTTGACAGTGGGACTGTAGTAACCACTGTCGTCGATGGTACGACTGAGACTCTAAGGACCGGACCACTAGTCGCCACATAACCACCTGGAGGGGGCATGCCAAACATAGGTGAGAATGAAGGCCCTACAGGCGATGACGTCACTGATGGACCCGCACCCGAAGGGGGAGCTACAACAAACTGAGGCTGCCTCATCACTGGACGAGGAGCCTGTAGTGCAGCCATAATTCGTTTCTGGTCTGCCATTAGTTCAACCAACACCTCCTGTTGAACTACCTGCGTCTCCGCCACACGAAGGAGCGAGTTACGCAGCGCTCGCAGCGCAGGATCAAGTGTTGACTCATCTAATGCTTCTAATCTGCTTAGCTCCTGCAATCTATTACCTAGTCTAACTTTTCTCATAATTGCTCTTCTTCTTCTCTCGGCTGCCTCATCCAATTGCCGCTGTAGCTCATCCTGAAGTTCTTCCGCTTGGAGGATCTCATAATCTTCCAGCGTGAGTTGATCCTGCTGGCTGACTTGCAAGCCAGCACTCTGGCTAATGGAAACCCGAGAACCACTCTGACTAACTCCTGACGAAGTGGCCTGTGAAGAGGCCTGTGACATGGTAGAGGAAGTAGCCATGGTCGCACCGGTGCTAGCTGAAATCCTAGACCTGGCGCTATCCTTAGCGACCCTTGCTCTTCTTGCCGATGTTCTCTCTCTAGCCTCTCTCAACAGTCTTTTCTCGTCTCCTGTACCTAACTCTAGGAAAGTCAAAGGTCAACTGAGAGCAGTACTACGAGTAGTCCTACGGTCATCCACTAACAACTCCTCCTCACTAGTGCTTGCATCACTCATGAGCAAAAGTGTGTGTGATCTAAACTAGAATCCACACTGAATCCTACCTCAGCATGACACACAACCGATTATGATACACCGCTAACTTCGGTCGGCCTGGACAGAAGTAGTTAGGTGGTTAGGTGTCAACCAATGTCAGATCCTACAGGGAATATTAAATCTATTTTTAGATTACTTTGATACAGATCAGTCAAGATGACATTGCAGTTGTTAGTCAAATCCGTAACAACTAAATAATCAAAAATAAAAATAATGCTCCCTGCAGAGATGTATGCTGGATGGCAGTTTATCTAATTAATGCCACGGTGAACAGTTGTCGGAATCCAACCCTTTCCCTGTATCCCTCTTGAGTAGTCACTTTGTGTCGACGTTCCTAGGCATCTGGTTGAGCAGCGTGTCTAAAGGTGTGCAATCCGGCCCACCCCTGTGCCCCAAGTCAACGCCGAACTTGCCAGCCCCTGCACATTATTTATCCTCGCATGCAACGAGCCTTACACCCTGTTTGGTCTGCCGGATCAGGAGGCATTTAAGGAGATCTCCCATAACTCCTCAGGAATTATTTAACGTCGCAGATAGGACAACGATCACAGCCAGAATCAACATCGAGTCCCCGCCAGAAATATTTAGAGACGGTCTGGTAAGCGTCTGTTCAAAGGGCTGGCATGCCCTGCATGACCTCTATTGCGCAGCAGCAGAACCAAGGCCTTGCGACAAAGCATGCGTGTACTACTCCCAGCGGGTTGGCATCGTGACTGTGACCTGAGTGCTTCGTCCAGGGCCCTTCATAGGCATCGCCTGTCTCCCACTAGCTTGCTGCCCAGGAAGCATGTCGACTCTCCAGGTTGAGCGTTCGCGACACCTCACATTGAGAGGACTCTCAAGACAAGACTCACTTCCTCACGGTAAGAAGCAATGGAGAGGGTAGAGAAGGAAGGAAGCAACGTACCTCATAATGCTGCCCCCAACCACAAATTTCTCACCGGCAACCTGATGTGCATTTATGATGACCGGTCTTTGCCTCGGCACAACCAACCGCAGAATGCAGTTCCACCTCGGCTTAAATGCCACATCAGCGAGCTCTCATCATCCAGCGTACAGTCCTAATGTCACCACATAGCTTCCTGGCGTGCCCACACGACCCTGGGCCGCCTTACGTTCAACGCCCAAGCCTTATCACTGCCCCACACCTCATGCGAAGCACCGAACAGCTATTGCGAAGAACCAATGAGCGCAGTTCGAACCAGCTCCGATACCAAATTGCAAGCAAAATGAACAGAAGCGAGATGACAATATTCAGATTGCACAATCACATTGAAAGCCAAATCGTATCACGGTATTCAGAAAGCAGCATTGCACCAATATAACACCAATGGAGAATCGTAGCACTGAACGTCAATGTCAATGAGAGCGTGCTCTCGCCACCACGAACATATGTATCCAGTCTCTATCTCCCTACTTGGCGCTCGGCGCCCAGTCTACTCCCTACACAGCTACTACTGGCCTACTAATTGACAATGCAACTGTTGACGTCAGCAGCACCCGAAGTACTTGAAGATGTCGCCCATGCAGAACCATCGCCAATACCAGNACTACTGGCCTACTAATTGACAATGCAACTGTTGACGTCAGCAGCACCCGAAGTACTTGAAGATGTCGCCCATGCAGAACCATCGCCAATACCAGGTATGTGCCCTCACATCATCATCGTCATCATCCTTCTCTCTCTCCCTTGACTCTCTCCCACGTCTTCCTTTTTGTACACCCGAAGACCACCCCTGCGCCTCACTGTACATCCAAGCCCTGCCCGCTACGGAGGCTGGGCTATGGCGCTGCCCTCAGCAGCGCCCTGCTCCCTGCACGACCGCAAGTGCCTGCACCTCGCCGCTCAGCGCTAGCAGCAGCCCACGAGCTTCAGCTCCAGCAGCGTTGCCGCCAGCATGCGAGTGCCCGAATGGCTGGCCAGGCAGCGAGCTCTTTCCTATATGGAAAGAGCCTGCCTCATTTGGCAGCCTGGCTGGGCTGGCCTGGGCCCAGAAGCTTCCGTTAGGCCCCAGGATGCTGCGCCTCTGGTGCAGCTACTGGGCCTCATTCGGTTGGGCCTCCCAACTGTCTGTGTATGAGGCTGCGAATCTCGCCCAGGGCCTGTGCTTTCGGAAAGGCCTAGAAGGCCTGGGAATTTCCACGCTGCTCGGCCTGTGTTTCCCTTCAACCACCTGGCGTGACGAAACTGCCTGGACCCCAAATGCTAAACTGGCAGCCAAGGGCCTCTCCTGATTTGTTAGGCCCGCCTTCACTCAGGGCGGGCACATATGCTGCAGGGGGGCCCTTAGGCCTGCCGAGGACCCATACCCTCGCATAAATAAATAAATAAACTTAAAGTTCAAACTTCAAAGTTAATCATACTTTTTTTTTTTTAAAATCTCTGTTTCTTTAGTATTTTGCCTGCTTTGCACTGTTTGCAACTCTGCATGTCTGCTAGTTTAATGTGCTTGTTGACTTAATGCAAGACAGGTGCTCTGCTGCCTGCAAAGCAGGTGAGTGCCTGCAAACACCCCCACCCACCCACCCAACCAACCCCTTTTTTTTTTCTTTTTCAGTCCAGACATTTTGCACCCCCCTGACCCCGGTCCGGACTGTCCGGGTCCAGTGATGTCTGGGTGTCCGGTGGTGTCCGGATCACCGGAAAGTGCGGACCGGTCCAGACACTAGTCCAGAAGACGGGAGTGTCCGGTGTCTGGGTCCGCGTTGACCATGGAAAACACAGACCTAACAATATATCACCCCCAAACAAAGTTAGAAAACCTTGAAGTGCAAGGAACATGAATATGGACGAAGCACAGAAATCCAGATTGCAAAATCACACTGAAGTCCAAGTAGTCGAAGCAAGAGCAGATAGCACAATGGAACCGAGTAACCATCCATTTGAGAATGATACAGAAGAATCGTGAGTCGATGTCCAAGCCCAACAGGGCAACACCAACAGCATAACCCAATGTAGCTCTCTCTCTTGAATGGCGCCAGGCGCCCTACATACTCTATAGCCTAACACTACACCTACAGTATGAAAGCAACCAGACAACTTGACGACCAGCGAGTGATGACGTCAACTCCAATGCCGACCTCCAACCTCCACCAGGTACGTCTCCTTCTTCACCCACACTCTCCCTTGTTATCCCACACAGCGCCCTTCACCTCCG